GCGTCTGTGCCTGAGTTATTGCCTTGTTCCTGCCATACTTCTGGGGCAGAGCGTAGCTACTTCCAGCTGCTGCCCGGCGTAGAACATAGCGTTTCGGGATGAAATGTGAGCATGCCCTTTAGCAAACGGGCACCGTCAGGGGCTTGCACCAAGAGAGAGCGGGGTTGTGGGTGTACACAGGACCTGAGTATCCCATCCCTGAATGCTGCTGTCCAGTTGTCCACTAAGGCCTGCCGTCTGCTGTTTCTTCACAGCTACCCCGTAGCAATTAAGGATTGTGATAACAAACTGCCGCTGAAATGGTTACACAGCCCCTGCCATATAAGCAGCTGAAGGAGTTTTACTTACACCCTTTCCCAGCTGCATTTAGCTCCCCTAGAAGAAGCACTTCTCCCTGCTCTCCCTCTACCTGTCCCTACTGTAGAAGGTTGTACAGCTTTGCTAGGCTGGTATAATTAATGCAGAGCAATTTATGTGTGTTCACAAGCCCTAAAATGTTTCCAAACCAGCCCCCATAAGCATCAGACTGGTCAAGACCCACACCCAGGCTCCTCAGCACAGCCTGGTGTCCCTGTTGAGTCATCGGTTTTGCTGGCCATTGGTTTTCCCCTGATGGTTACCTATCCAGATGCTGACCCGGGCGGCTCTGTAGCAGGTGAGAACAGGGCTGTGTTTGTGAGCTCTGCTCACGGACACCTGCCTTGTGACTGTGAAAACCCACATTCTCTTGCTTTTCCTCCAACACATTTCTCAGCAGATTCAGGATTTAAAAATAGAGGGTTTACCTAAAGTGGCACTAGACGTCTCAGTGCAGGTTGCATTAAAATGGAAACTCTAATACCTGTAAACACACAAAATACCTCTAATTTCCTGAAAAATGTATTCATCCTTCACAGCCTGGCTGCAGCAGAAATATGGTCTGAACCAGGTCGCCCACAAACTGCAGGTCCAGCGCTCTGGAACTGCCAGCAAGCCTGCACACATCCCGCCGCTCAGCTGGGTCAC